TACGTTTCATCGACGATCTACAGTTGCCAAAAGTAGAAAACAATCATTCTCAGTCTTGTAGTGAAGCACCGCCTTTTAACACAGAATGAGCTCTGGCATTTAACGAGGTGACACAAAAAGTCTTATTTTTTTTAAACATCTTAAAAATTACTTTTGTAGAGATTTTAGATAAAGAAAAAAAAACATTTATTCTACTTGTAAAAAATGAACGGTTGTTGTTCACAAAATTTAAAAAGTAGTGTAGCTTAATAACTAAAACATGCTAACCTTTTAACTATTGAGCACAGCTAGCCACAGCGCTACCCAGCTCTCCCCCTTTATATCATGGTCTTGCAGTTACTTTGTTCCCCATAAATGCATTTTATCAGTTTTATTATCGATGAGGTAAAACTTCATCAGTCTTTAGATACGCCGAAACTACAGATACCCCCGACTTGGCACACAGACGATGCATTGTTATTATCTTTGTCCGAGCAACTAAAATGTTTTACGTCACACGGCAACGCTCAACCACTCACATAGTGTCACTGGCATGCACAGTCCCTGAGCAGATCTGACCACCTGATCTGGTACCTACAACAGCTTAGGTTTAGTGGACATTTTTTTTGGGAGGATAGGGTGAAGCAGCAGCATGGAAAACTGTGGCTTTGAGACGCATATCAAGCAAAATCTGTTAAAAAATTTGTAGATAAGAACTAAAGCTAGAGTACGCACATCTAGACCCACGTTTGTATTGATCCCATACATTGCCTACTAATGTCAAAGTCCTCTTGTCAAGCCACTCCAGAACCTGAGGGATCCTCACAACCATCTTGCTTGGGATCAGGAGAAAAAGACTGGACAGTTGCCCAGGGGTCAGAAGCCCTCTTTGTCGGTGAAATTAAGTGTGCATTTTATTTGTAGACCCAGGTCCCTAACATGCAGGGGTGTGGAAAAAAATTGATTTGGCGACAGCTTTACTAAAGCTACAAACTCTACTAAAGCTCCACTCTGCCAGCTTAGTCTTTCCATCACTGTTTTTTTTTTTTTTTTCTGGGCTGGATTTTTTTGTTTTTGCTCAGGAGGTGGTGTGAGGAGAGTTAAGTAGAGCTGAAATATGATGTGAACAGATTGCTGATCACAGATAGCCCATGTGATGGTGAAAAGAGGGTTTAAATAGAGGACGTGCAGGAAAAAAATAAACTGAAAAGATGCTACATATATAATGGGGACAGTGGGGGATCAGGGGGTAGGGGTTCGTCCGGCGAGTTGCTGGTTTGAACCCCTGCTGCATCCGTCTCTGTCCTTGTGTGCTTGGCCTTAACCCACCTTCCCTGCTGACAGTCTGCCTAGGGCAGCTCTTCCTACATTACCTCGCCTCTATTAGTAGCTGTGAATGAGTGCCTTGGGGTCGTGGGACCTGATATAAAGTCTTGAAATATTTAACTCTCTGTGTAATGGGTATGTATATGTTTTGTTTCTGAATTTGATGTATAGTGTACTTTATCATCGTACTCAGTACCTGTAAATAAGGTACATGGAAGTGTTAAAGACTTTGTTTACAAAATTAAATGAACATAGTTGATTTTGAGGTTTTAGCTACAAGTTTTACTCCTTCCAGCCAGTAAGTGGTGCTCTCATGCTCGCCAGCTCTTGTTCTAACTTTCAATTGTACTGATTACCAGCTATTTGCAGGTCTGCCATTGTTAACACTAACCTTGGTTAGTATTAAAAAACATTTGACTTACCTGTCCAGGAGGACAGCGATAACCTCTGCATGGCTTCTGAGCCCCTTTGCTTCCTTAAGTCGGCAGCAATGCGCAAAAACTAAAACAATGTTCACACTATCACAGAGCCACTATTCCTGTTGGTTTAGAATCCTTTGGTGTCTACGTTGGCACTATAAGAAGAAGTAAATATATATAGATATTTTGGACCTACCAGAATGCATAAAAAAATATTTTATTTTTATTTCTTTGCCGTAAAATTCATACTTTCCTTTGGTACCACCCTAGACATTCTATAGATGTATTATTTTTGAAAAAGAATTATTTTGGTGAAAAAGTTGCAGTTATAACCTTTAAACATTATCATGCTTTACACTCAATATTTTGAGACTAATTGTTGATAAACCTGTAAATTCATGATACTTTGGTTTCACTGAATTAACACACAAGGGCTGACAACTTCAAAAATAAATGGTGAACTGACTTTGCCTTAAAACAGGAAGGACGTTTTTATACCCACTCCTGGTAAAATAATCCAACATTTGGATGACAGTTACTTTTGACAAAAATATAGTTAGGTTTTAAGTTTTAAAATGTTTATTTTCCTTTTTTTTCATCTGTCTTTGTGGTAGAGTAATAAATATATAACACTTTTGATTTCCACTTCATAGCCTTTTTGTTTTGCAACAGGAAATGTTAGCAAATTAGTTGTTTCTTGTAAGGGAGGATAGTTAGTAGGCAGCGTGGAGCAACACGTAGGGGAGGGGCAGCAGTGTTATTGAATGGCTTTCTAGGATCTTAATAAAAACCACTTTAAGCCACATTAAGGGTGTCATACAATTTTAGGTATTTCTAACTCTTTTTTTTTTTTTTTTTTTCAACTTTGGTGCATCTTCTTACAATAATCCGTATTTACGGACAAAGCATGTCCTGATTTAACCTTTATAACTTGTTTTCCTCTTTGCAGTTGTTTGAGAGAGATCCGTCGCACAGGCTAGGGGTTGTTGGAAACCTGCGCTCACACTCCTTCTTTAAGACCATTAACTGGCAGTCCTTGGAGAGGAGAGAGGTTGACCCACCCTTCAAACCCAAAGTGGTATGCTCCATCCTTTTTTTTTGGCTAGGATCCTGCTCTGTTATGTGATAGTGTCCAGATTCTTTTCATCTTTTCTGAAATTGGTTTTCCTCTCATTTGCAGAAAGCACCAAACGACTGCAGCAACTTCGATCGTGAGTTCCTCAATGAGAAGGCACGGCTCTCTTACAGCGATAAGAATTTCATAGACTCCATGGACCAGTCTGCATTCGCTGGCTTCTCCTTCATAAATCCCAAGATGGAGCACCTTCTAGAGAAGTGATAGTTTTCTATCATTAGACTCAAGAGTTTCTCCTGTTGTTTTGGGATCTTTTTTTCCCAACTTACAGACAAATAAAGTCTTCCTCAAATTAATCAGTATTTATGTAACTTTTATTTCAGGTGCAAACTATTCCCTATTGGTACATATAGAAACAAAATGCCTGTACTGTATATACTGATGTCATCGTCTTTTTGTGCATGCTTATTATTGGTTATGGCTGTGAAAGCCTTTATGAATAATAATAATAATATGGTGGGAGGCTGAAAATCCTATCCTTTCACTTCATGTAACATCAGTGCTACTATCTTCAGCCTTTGTGTTTCCTTCTTCACCTCCAACTGGGTGTAAATGGAGATAGTAAATAATAGAAGGAGGAAACGGCTCATTGTGTAAACTGTACTGTGTATTTCAGTTGTAGAATAATCATGTAAATCAGGTGAGTGCATGTGAATGGCTCAGAACAACAGCATTTCAAACTGTAGATAAATAAGGATATTATCTCTGAAACCTCTGAGTTGTTGCTTTTGACTTGACTGCTTTAAAGTACAATAAGATTCAGCTTAGGTCGTGTTCTTGACCGAAGATGAAAAGATCAAATTTAAACACCACCGGCTGCCCATTGCTGTATCGAATGCTGCTGTCTGTAGAGTCTGGGGAAGTATTTGATACAGAGAGATTGATAATAATGTTATCTGAATGTAGCTATGCAGTCAAATCTAGCTAAATTGCTGTGTAAAAATATTTTAGATGTATATTGCTGTAACGTGCATTGGTTCTGTAATGATGTATCTTTTTTTTTTTAACCATTTCCATATTAACATCCAATTTTTAAAAAACAGTCAGCTCCTGAGATTGCTGCTTTTTTGTATGTAACAATAAAGCTATTAGAGGTGTAGCTATACATATTCTATGGGTGAATTCTTATTAAAATGATCACATCAGTTTTGAGTTTGTACATGGGGAACAAATGTTTTCAACACTTTTATTTCAAGGTTAAATAAATGTATTTTATTAGATATTTTATGTAAAAGACCATCAGAGAATGAAGCATAAATACGAAATAAAACTAAAGAAACTTATGCTCACCATATGTTTTTCCTTTTTTTTTATTGAAGTCTGAAAATTAGGGCTTGTATTTGTGATCAGTATGTAAAATCTAACAAGTCAGTAAATGGCAATCACTTTTTGTATTTATATCTTCAAATAAATGCAGCTGCTCTGAAAGCTACATTGTTTTTTTTTAGAGAACATACATAATCAACCAGACCACAGTGATTGGAGGAGCTGCAGAGAACAAGAGCTCAGGGTAACTTTCACTGGTTTACCCTGCAGTCTGGTAAGGCAGGAGAACCAACAGGATATCTGAGATGGAAGAGGGTGCTCTCGTTGGACCAGACCAATGTGCAGTTTTTTTGTTTACCTATGTCCAACATAAAATATGCATTGCATATGAACTACCCCAAAAATCATCACCAAGGGGAAGCAGAGTGGTGCAACATCATGCTGTGGGCCAAGCTTTTTTTTTTTTTTTTTTAGCACTGACAAAAGCTGTCACAAATTTATTTTGACTGAAAGACTAGTGTGGTGTTTTATCCCACAGGACAATTTTACAGTTAATAAAATAAAAAAACGATAACTTTATATCAGAATGCTTTTCAACATCTCTTAAAAACTATTTTCAGACATTGGCAGAGCAAACACGTATCTATGGTGGCCTAAATTGTTATTTAATATTTATATAAATAAAAAAAATTACTCCTACTCCTTTATTGTAAAAAAATTAATCTTTATTTTTAGAAATAAAGACAAACGTCCAACCGGGAGGCATTATAACCATGCCTCAAATCGTCAAAGGGAGAACTACGCCCTCTTGCGGGGACACTTAAGAACAAACGTTTTACGTCATCACTCTACGTAATTCCGTACAATGTGTACGGAAGTAATTCTACTCAGGTTGTATGAGCTGTTCTAATCAGTGAGTAAAGGATGTTTTTCCATCCTAAAAACACTCGGGTTCCTCATTGACATAAAAACAGACCGAAGGTTTCAAAATGAGCACCCAGGATATCCTGAAGAATGCGTCCACTTTGGCCTCGTATAACGTGTTGCTACAGGTGAATAACTGCATTTGCTCTAGTCGGTCTAAAGGTTGTGTTTCTGATTTCTTAGTTCGTGTTTCCCAGGTGATGTTCCGCGTCCTCACCTTCCTCCTGAACGCTTTCACGCTGAGATTCGTCTCCAAAGAGCTGATCGGGGTGGTGAACGTCAGGTAAAAATAAAGATGCTGAGAGAGAAAGACAGGGGGAGGGGGGTTTCTGCTCACCTGCTGCTCTAACTTATACTTCTGTGTATCTCTATGATTCAGGCTCACGTTGTTATATTCCACGCTAGTGTTTTTATCCAGAGAGGCTTTCAGGAGAGCCTGTCTGAGTGGAGAATCAGGGACAAACCGCAGCTGGAGACAAGTCATCAACCTCCTATGGCTGACGTGAGTTACTCATACATGAGTTACGGTAGGTGCTGATAAGAGCAGATATGTCTCAATAGGAAACATTAGATTTGTGTGGGGTTTACTAACAGCTGGGAGAACTTCAGGATTGAAATAACTGAAGATTGAAGAGTTTGATGATTCTTAAGGTCTGAACTGTGGCTTGGAAAGGTTCATGTCCTGAACATCAAAGATACACTATGGAGATCAAACAATGCAGATGAAATGCATAGCTTAGTGTAGTTTAGCTGCACGTAGCTTGTGTTTTTCTTTCCTTCCCTCAGTTTACTTTGGCTTATCTTAACTGTCAATAGCAAAGCTTCTCTCAGGCTCCATTCCCTTATTTCCACTTAGGTTGCCTTACCTTGCCATGGCTTAATTGACCTTGCCTTGTCTTAGTTACCATATCTTAGATTAGCTTCCCTTTCAATCTCTTAGTTTAGGGTACTTAGTTTTACTTATTCATAAGCCTATTTTAGCAACCATTCTGTTTCATATGTCAGCATCCCTCCCTCCCCTCACACACAGATTCTTGTGTCTCACTCTTCAGAGTTCCTCTCGGTGTGTTTTGGGCCATTCTTCTTGGATGTGTGTGGCTGTGGCTCCTGGAGGTGCCAGATGCCCAGACGGTCCCTCACTATGGTCCTTCTGTGGTGCTGTTTGCCTTCTCAGGAGTGCAGGAGCTCCTGGCTGAGCCCCTCTGGGTCTTGGCTCAAGCGCACATGTTTGTGCGACTGAAAGTGATCGCTGAGAGCTTAGCGATGGTCGCCAAGTGCAGTGTCACCGTGGTGTTGGTGGTATTCGCACGCGATTGGGGTCTTTACATATTCTCTGCTGCCCATGTAAGACAACAGTTCTCTGCGAATAAAACGCATACCAATGTGATGTGATGTAGACTACAGACCATAGTCCATGTTGTGCACAATACAAATACACTTAGCACTCTTTAGTTTTTTATGTCTCAAAACATTGAAGATGACGTTTTTTCCTGGCATTTCTCAATAATGTGTTACCTCGTGTTTCTCTTTTAGTTGGTGTACACAGGATTTCTTGTGGTGTGCTACGTGGTTTACTTCATTCATTTCTTGGGGTCCAAAGAAGCAGAAAAGAAGAAATTTCCTCTGCAGCACGTCAGGGATCTGTTGCCTTGCAAAGCTAAAGGAGAGGTTGTTAATTCAATGCAGATTGTGTAATGATTGAAGTCACCCAGAGCGCTCTAACATTCCAAAAATCTGCTGTATTTACAGCCACTCGTAGACTGGACCGTGGCCCGGCTCACGTGGAGCTTTTTCAAGCAGTCCTTCCTCAAGCAGATCCTGACAGAGGGGGAGCGCTACGTCATGACCTTTCTGAACGTCCTCAGTTTTGGCGACCAGGGTATCTATGATATTGTAAACAACCTGGGCTCCATGGTGGCTCGCTTCATCTTCCTGCCCATCGAGGAGAGCTTCTACATCTTCTTTGCCAAAGTGTTAGAGAGAGGACGGGATATAGAAAGTCAGAAAAAGGTCTGAGGAGGGGGTGCGAACAAATCAAAACACAATGAGGTAGCAATCCCTGCTTTTCTCACTTAATATTGTGTTTTCCTACACAGGAAGATGTAGCGATTGCAGCAGAGGTCCTTGAGTGTTTGATGAAGCTGGTACTGGTGATCGGATTGATCATCACCGTATTTGGATATGCATACTCTCACCTGGCTCTGGATCTTTATGGTGGCGCTCTTTTAAGCAGTGGATCTGGTACATGTTCCAAACTCAGCAGAAATTCTGAAGAATATTTGATTCCCTTCTGTTCTCGGTATGGTAATCTGTTGATTTACTTAAAGGACCTGGTTTGCTGCGATGCTACAGCTGCTATGTTCTCCTACTGGCTGTGAACGGTGTAACAGAGTGCTTTGTATTCGCTGCCATGAGCCAACAGGAAGTCGACAAGTAAGTAAGGAGACAAAACAGATGCTTATAGATCTCACACGACCCGAAATCTGTTACTTTATCCCTGTTTGAGTTTTTTTTTTTTTTTTTTTTCCCCAGGTATAACCTGGTCATGCTGGCTTTGTCTGTGTCCTTCCTCGTCCTGTCCTACATGCTGACATGGTGGGCCGGCGGCGTTGGCTTCATACTGGCAAACTGCCTCAACATGGCCCTACGGATCTCCCACAGCCTGCTCTTCATTCACCACTACTTCCAGTTCAGTCAGTGGAAACCTCTGCGAGGCCTTTTGCCTTCCCCGCTCCTGCTGGTGGTGCTTATCCTGAGCGCTGTGGTTACAGCAGTTTCTGAGGTACTTCTGAAATGGTTTTATCTTTTAATATGTTTATATTTATGCATTAATTGTTTATATTTATTTAGAGAGCCTTGAACATTTTAATTTTTTTTTGCTTACATGTATTTTACTGGAGTATGCTGGTAAAGATTCTCAGTCATCCAGGTCATATTCATTCCAAAAAATTTTTAAAACAATCCACTGGACTTTTTTTCCAAGTTTAAAGACATTTCTTTTCCAATCCAGGAAGCTTTTTCAATTCAAAATGTCAGAAATAGTGTTGAGTTCGATGCTTTATAGAGTGGACCAAAAACAAAGCCTGGTTTTGGCTTAGAAAACATGCAAATTGAACCGGACAAATGGATCTGACCCTTAGGAATGGGCAGTATATAGCTCTTTTATAGACATCGATCAGCATCAAGGGGCAGACCCCTTCTTCATGTTCAATTTGCGTGTTTTCTAAGCCAAAGCAAGGCTTTGTTTTAGGTCCACTCTTTTAAGGTTTGACCCCAACGCCATTTCTGACATTTTGAATTGAAAAAGCTTCCTGGATGTGGATTGATCTTTTAACTTTTTAGAAAAAATGTTACTGGTGGTGTATGCCATAAAATAATGCAACCACTGTTTACATATGAATGGGAAATGATTTAAAATAAGTAACCCACATAGAGAACTAAAATAGATTTTCCTACCAAATCCCATAAAAAGAGCTGAAGAGAAAAAACTAAGGTTTTTCTTTTGCATAACAATAATACAGATCTTATCCTGAATCTAACCTCCTCTATATAATTTCCTTTTAAAATGTTGCTCGTTGCCTTTGTAAGACATGGTGGTGGCAGCATTATGCTGTGGGGAAGCTCTAATCTAGCAGGGAGAATGTTGATCAGATTAACTGGAAAAAGATGGATGGAGTTAAATACACGATCATTTGGTGGCAAAGGTTAAATTAGAAGCAAGACAATTACACTAAAACAATCAGAGCTATCACAGAATGATATAAAGTCAAGGAATTATTGTGTCCGATTCACAATAATGTACTTCTAAATGTATATAACAAAAAACACAGATGATATATAAGATGACAGAATGTAATAAAGCTCAGTGTAATAAATATTTTAGCAAGACAGTGCTATCCGACATTTTTTTTAAAATATGAATTCAGCTACTTTTGTTTCAATTTTCAGGCTGCTTTCTGCTGCAACGGCGGCTGGCTGCTCAGGATGCTCCATATCTGTGTGGGAGGAGTTTGTTTGCTTTTCGTCCTGGTGGCTGTTCTTTTCACAGAGACTCGGCTTGTTCAGTTTGTGAGGACACAGCTGCTGCCCCGTTACAGAAAGAAACACACTTAATCACACAAGAAACTGCTGCGGATGGGAAACACAAGGAGATTAGAAACTGGATATCAGTTACTGCCAAACAGACATAAAGAGGACGGGAAGTTTATTTTAATGTAATTGTTATTTTTTACTCTAAAACATTCCTGTTTGAAATGTATTAAAAACATTATTTTTGTTTTAGGATCTATGTATGAATGGAAACAACGAACGTACTTGAAAAATACTGCTGATTTCTGTTACCAACCTTTTTTGCACAGATTAAACAAAACAATGTAACTGGGATGAAATTGTATAAATGTTCAAGAGTACGAGAACAAAACATTCTGACTGCTGAGTTATTTCAGTTTGGTTTATTTCTTTAGAGCCAACTAACATGTAATCTCTTATTCATACTCTACTCACATAACCCTTTTAAGTGCAAATTGAATTCAAACCAATTTTATTTGATCTAGTTAGATTAAAATCTGATAAAATACCGTTAATTTCAATCCTGGATAAATCCAAAGTAGTAATCACGTAATGATGATTGGTACAGTTTTATAAGGATTTCAAATGGACTGCTAATTGGTAAACACAGTTCAGCCAAGTGCGTCAGCAGTCACAATAAGTTCTGTCTGAATAGTGCAGGCAGTAAGCAAGGAGGTAGGAAAAGGGAGCAGGATGCTTCTTATAGTTCCTTTAGCATAGGGATGTCCTAGCCTTCGTATCTGTGGCTGAGAAGCTGTAAGGTTCCTACAATCTTGTGTGAAAAGATGTGTAGCCACAGCCTACCTCACAGAGTTTAACACAAATATATTATTTCTTCACAATACTCTTTGTGACACATGCACATTTTCACACCATATATTTTGGTTTTTATAATGGAAAATTTTACTCTTTTTTTTTTCAGTTCTTCGTGTCGTAGGATTGGTTTTAACTTGCATCACCTATGTGTGCTTCCATCAAGTGATAACATATGTGACACTTAAGGCTGTCCAGATTAATCAAAGCAGTATGGAGTCCCTTTCCTATCCAAGATAGAGTTCTTACCATTGTGGAAGGAGCTAAGAGCTACAACTTGCCCAATTCAAAATTGACCACTTCCTTTGCAGTGGTTCCTTAGTCTGAGCAAGCATTTGGTGACAGTAGAGAGGAATACCTTCCCTGTAAATAGTCTTATTCCACTGGCGAAGTGTCTAACTAACCTGCTCAATTCAACAGGAAATGCTCTAATTTTAAAGTGGTCATAGAAGGTTTAAATAGGGTATTTAGCCCTGGTCCTTAAGGTCTCTGAACAGGATGTTTTAACATTGGTTGGGCTGAAAATGGCGTATTTGCTGTTCTATGCCCCCGTAATGCAAGCCTGGTTAAAAGCCCCAGAATGAAACAACAGGTTTTGTTCCTTTTATGGTATGCTCATGAATATTTAGATGGGATGTGCGCTGGTTGGTTGGTTTACAACGAGCAAAGCTGCTGAGCAAAGACGCATCATAGCAACAAGCACTCACTCACTGAAACAATAAGTTGTTAATATGGTGACCAGACCACCGACACAGTGACGGTATGCTTCATCCCTGCCTGCCCTGTAAGGCAGGAAGGATCCTCTGATAGACAAACATAATCCATGCCTGTTGAGTCTTCTGGAAGACTGTGAAAAATTGCCTTTACGTTGGTGATTCTGGCTAATTTTCAATAGAGAAACTGCCTGCTTTGTAATTCTTGAGGAAGTAAACCCAACTGTAGGGTAAACAGCTAAACTGGTGTCTTACACCTACCTCTGTTCATGTTCTTGGGCCAGTGAACCAGTGGGCTGGTCTGTAAATCTCGGGGCGTGACAAAAGGACAGGCCAGAACCAAATAAGCCAACATCCCCGAGTTGATGTCAACTCGGGGCTTCGTTTGGATTCGCCTGTTTTATGGTGGAAGTTTAAAATTGTGAGATTTGCAGAGAAAGGAGGTGTCGATGGGGTTTAAACTTCTCTGTAGGTCCATTTCACCCACTGAACTAACGTTATTCATCTATGACAATGTAAACTCGGTTTTGCATTCTATGACCCCTTTAATAAAAATGGACTTACTTAGATTAATTTTTTTTTTTTGCAGTGAAGAGTGCTTTCTATGGGGAATAAATCAAAGGGGGCAATTTCAGCCATATTTTTTAAATAAGAGACATAACTGAACATATCACCAAACCTGAATCATCTTACATAACAGTAGCATGATTACTGGGATTTAGTGAAGAGGTAAAGTTAGGGAAAAAGACAGTTTACATGTTTAGTACTAAACATGTAAACTGTCTGTAAATCTGAGGCTTCTTTTTAGATCAGAATTTTGCTTGTTTGGAAAGTTTTAAGCATCAGTGAAACCCATGTGATTTTGTTGAACGTGAACGAAAGAAGCAAAACCCTGATCTCTTTCTCTAGCTTTGTATTTTCAGGTCCCTTAAATAAGTTTATAAGGAGGACAGCGATCACATTTTACAGGATCTGTTCAGCGAGCCCGACATGTTGCTGGGAAACACTTTCCAGTGATCTGTTGGTCTTTCTGTTTTGCTGTATTTAGATTACACACAATCTAAACAATGATGTCGGTTTGGGAATCAAGCAGGAGGACTCGGGAAAGCATTCTTTTACAATGAGACACATTTCAGTTTGTTGTACTGTGAGTTGGAATTGTATTTATATTGTATAAGTGAACATTAGAAAAGAGTCTGCCGAGAGGTTTGATGCATTATAATATACATTTAGTCTGTTATGTTTGTACTTGGCAATCTTCAAAAGCATTCCCAACGAAGTTTAGTCCATCAGAAACAAATAAAAACCCTTCACCCTACATCTCTGGGATTCGTTAGGTGAAGTTTAACGGCACAAGTTTCAGTCGTGATCTCATCATTTTGTAATGAGACTGTGGACAGGAGGAGCCTGCTCACTTATGTCCAGAAAGCAGATTTAATGTTCACTAGGAAATCATTGCCAGATTGTCTGTTTATGTGAGCGAGTGCCGGGGGCAGCCTAGCAGAGAGACAGCTGTCAGGAAGAGAAGAATATCTAAAGCTGAGAATCTGCCTTTGTGTGAACAACATGTCTCAAGTAAGAGTTAAAGTTTTCAGTTTTCAGTGGCCGCGGATTTGTAGATTAACTTTTATTTATTTTTTCTCTCAGCCTACACAGGAAGATGAACAAACACAGCGTCCTGCGGTGAGAGAAGAGGACCTTACTGAAGCAAAGAACAAACTGGGTGGGAGTGGGTCCGTGAAGGGCAAGACTTTTGAAGTAATGGAGGAGTGTGGTGAGGATGATTTTATACATGTTAACACATTTATGGTAGTGTTATTTGAAACTATGTTCACTACAACTAGGTTTTTTTTAATCTTTTGTATTTGGTTAAACTGGAAACACATAATGACTGTTAGGGGAGTTATGTACAATGTCGTAGTTTCCAGTCCATATACAGAAATGGGGTTTAATGATGGGACATTCCAGTCTTATCCAGGGGGGATTAAATATGAGCATACTGCAAAAAAATCTAATTAAGTGCATTTTTTTCTTTAGATACCGGTAAGTAAATTTATTCTTGAATTGAGGAGAAAAGTGAGACATTTTGCCAATGGAAAAAGACAATTTACATTTAAAATAAGGAAAACAATTGTCTCATTTACCTACTCAAATTAGGGGAAATACACTTCATTTAAGACATCTTTGTTTATTTCTATATCATTTTTCCAGTGTAGTCTCATGTTTATGTAACAGCTTGTCTGCTATTCAGTGAAATCTTCTGATTTATCTTGGTTCTCTGTAGAAAAAAAGGGTAAGGCTGCCCCCTCTGTGTTCAGTGGAGCGAGATCTGGGGCAGAGACTGCTTTCAACACCCGCTCGCCTCGAGAGCCCAGGAAGTAAAAGAGAAACATCCTAAGCACGGATGATCGCCGCCTCTTCCATGTGAATTGCATGCGACCAATTGTTTTCTCTGCCTGTGTATTGTGGCCGAAAACATTATTTTATTGTTGTTTCATATCATGCAACTATTACCAGCAGAGGTATGTTTAATAAAGCTTTGAGTTGAGTAAAAGTTCTATCATCAATTAACAGATTTGAAACAGCTATGTTTTACTCAGGCTTTCTGCTGTATTTCAAAGCATAAACATCTGGGCTCTGTACAAAAGTTTCTTTAACGATATCTTATGAGGATTTAAATTCCTCTAAAATGGGGAATAAAAAAGTACACAAACAAAGCAGAACTAAATACAAAATAGTTGGCAAATCAAGAACAGCTAAGCATGCAAGAAATAAAGAGGACTCAAATATGTAAGAATTAGAGTAGTTGAAGAAAAGAATGAGGAAAAAAAATATTCCTAACATATCAAACAACAGAAATAAAACCAGCTTTTTGTTTAACAGATTCCTAAAGTTACTAAAAATGAAACCTTAATCTAAATAAACTACTCATAAATCATAAAGAAAACATACAACAGTATGGGTAAATCTCTCCTTTCCTATCCAACATGGTTTCAAATGTAATGGAATCTAAAGTTATCAGGTTGGAAGATTCTTTTTTTTGTCAAAAATATTGTCAGGAGGAGCTGCTATGAAGGTAGATTTGTGTCTTTATTATTATTCAATTAAAATTGTTTGTAACTTTTTTGATTGAATGATAAAGACACAAATGTCCTACCCATTATAAGGCCCAATCAAAAAACAATGTTACTTCAATTTAAAAAGTTTCTTTAAAAAAAAAAAATATATATATATATATATAATTCTTATATCAAAGAAAACATTTTCAATCAAAGAAAAGCAGTGTTCTTATATATTGTTTTGAGTCTCAACTATATTTTTTAAATTCAAATACTTTTTTCTTTGATTGTAAAGTTTTTCTTTTTCATTGAAGTGAAGGTGTTTTAATTGAAAATATATTTTTTGATTGAAGCAACTTTTTTTTTATTGAATAATAAAGACACAAATCTACCTTAATAAGCTTCAGACCTTATTTAAATGAATATGCACTATAACTAAAAAATATATTCCTAAACTAAACAAATCGGACACTTCTTTATGCAGATGCTCTGTCTGCATGGATGAAGTATTTATCATGTCTTTTCAGAGCCTGAAAGCAGTTTGACCTACTTTCTTACGCTGCCGATAGTTTTGAACACTAGGGGGCAGTTAATACACTTTACATGATGTAGTGGTGTCCCAATTTTAACAATATTAAAACAATTCATAATTCAGCCATTTGTTTTGAAAACAACAAATAAAGTAAACAATGTTCATATTTTCGTATATCAGTGTAGATCTGAAACATGAGAAATAAAGAGTGTATAATTTCTAAAGTTCTCTTCCTGAATTTTTCCTATTCCATTTAGCACAAAGAAAAGTATATACCTCAGTCTTTCTTTGAACACACTACTTTAGCCAAGTTCAATAAATAAGAAAAATTATGATTCCAACTAGACTTAAAATTGTTAATGTTGCTTTTGAATTTTAATGAAAGAAACATGGATTAAAGAAAAATGTTTACTTAGTCATATATACGTAGTATTTTCCAAGTTTAAAAGGATTGCAATTTATATATTTATGTAAAAAAGTCCTTCCTAGTGTTTAGAGGCTGTGTAAAAACAGATTTTTAGCACTCCCTATCTCCCTTCACTTGCGCTATATTATATTGAGCAATAGGTCAATTACTAAAAGCTTCACACTGATAACAGTGATACGCAGGTATTCAAGTTATGTTGTTCTATATTTAACTCTTTGAAAGGTATTAAAAATGCAAAAGACACGAAGAGCAAAATTAATGAACTTTTTTTTATTTCAAAAACTTAAACAACAAATATTAAAACTATAAATCCATTAGAACAGAACTACTACAGTGAAAGGCTTGAGATGCAAAAAAGCAAAGCAGAGAAAGAGAAGGTGACATCTGAGCATGGAGGGGAAGAAGCTGGACGGACTTTCATTTCATAAACTTGTGGTGCTGATCTTGAAGGATTTTGGCTGAAGACTTTGCATCGTAGAACAACTCATTAATCTCCTCGACCTGCTCCCTCTCCACGTTCTCTTTGCCCTGAACGCGGCCCAGCAGGTTGGCTGGTGTTAGTAGCTGGACAGCATACCTGAGAGGACAAAGAAATATGTGCATCAGTGCAAATATCACCAGGCACACGCCAACAAACCCCAACCTCAGGCCTGGCTCCAGAGTGGAGTCCCGGCTCATCCATAATTGCTGGCATTATGCTTCTTTATTGGGGCTTTTTGAACTGCTCTTTGTCATCCAGAGCCTGTTTGCCTTAGGAGACCCTACCAGGGGCATTTATGCCCCCGATAACAGAGCCTCTGAGATCATCTGTGCACAGAAATCCCTCCACCACATTAAGATGGCAGTTCAAGCAGGGCTTGTTTGCAATTATTTATAAATAAAATAATTAAAGGTCTACACATCTGAAAACATTTAAAATGTATCTTAACTGTTTTGATGTGTGTGGTTAGTCAAGTGAGTTGCAATATAATTATGTGGATGTGACCATGTTAAACAAAAATAAAATGTTTTGGCATTCATTTTTTGCACATCTGGGGAAGTGGTGGCCTAGTTGTTAGGGCATTGTGCTTGTGTCCCAGAGGTCCTGAGTTCAAGCCCCAATCCCACAGACTGCGACTCTGGGTCCCTGAGACCCTTAACCCCACACTGCTCCCCAGGCGCTGCACAGTGGCAGCCTACTGCTCCCCAAGGGGATGGGTTAAAGGCAGAGGGTTCATTCCGTTGCTTTGTACTTGTGAAAGTGTAATGACAATAAAGTTATATTCTATTCACATAGATTGCCTTCAATTGGATACAAAATGGGTATGAATCAGATAAATAATGCTTTTTTTGAGTAATTTAACAAAAATAAAATATACACTTTACATAGAATTAAACAATTATTTACTGGAAAGGTGAGATAGTTACTGTAACATGTTACTTAACATGTTTGTCCCAACACTCCAAAGCTGACAGGCAGGATGGAAAACTATTCCAATTGATGAATCAAACAACCATTTTGTTGCAAAGACAGATGGAGTATCCCCAACTGTCTGATTCATTTTAAATAAAAATACTTCAATTTCAGTCCAGGATTACTAAGAATTTACACAGGTGTGTTAAATTTGAAACCTTCCCAGTAAATCCAGTAAATGAAAAAAAAAACAAAAAAACAAACAAGGTGAATCCAAGGATGTATCTACCTGAGGGTTGTTTTGGTACCGATTTCTGCCAGATGTGTGAGAGCCTCCTCACTGATGCTGATCCCTTCGGTCTGAGCACGGATCTTGATGATCTGAAACCCAAAGCCTCGTTAAATACATATAACAACAAGTTATAGCCCAGAGACCCTGAAAGACTGACCTGCTTCATCTCCTGTGGTGTGTACAGCATGGTGCGGATTATCATGACCCGGTCCAGTAGGTCCAGAGGGATCCCATGTGGAGAGCTAATGTCCTCCGTCCCCCTGATGAACAACAGCAATTTTTTTTTTTTTTTTACTCTGAAACTTTTTCTTCCTTCCTTCTCCAAAAGCACATCTGGGTTCTCACCTGATCAAACATTTTCCTCTGTTGGAGGCGAACACAACGATTGGAGCAATGCTACTTTCCAGAGCTCGATGAAGGTAAGTGAAGCACTCTATGTCAAGCATGTGAACCTCGTCCACAAACAGCACGCCGGGTACCAGCTCAGCCACACCCTGGTCTATGTAGCGGTTCACCACCTTGTTGATCTCCGCACGAAGTTTATCTGAGGCAGGAAAACAACAGCAGTTCTTCAGACAGTTAAAGATGATCAGCATTGGGCATTTATATGCCAGGAGTTTGAAGATGCGTTTCAGTACCTGTGATTTCTGTCTTTTTGGGCTTCATCAGCTGCCCCATCATAGAGAGTATGTCCTGACCTCCCTGGAATGAGACATTTCATGCTTACTCATCTTTCTCAATATTAATAAATAACTTCTATTTCAGGGATGCAAATCAGAACAGTTTATGAACCTGTGGCCGGGCATTTGCAACATCCAGGTCATGAAGTGTGACATCTTGGACTATCTCTTTCTTCTTGTGGACGTCACCTTTAGGAAGTGGTACGTACTCCTCTGCCTCAAGGTCAAACTCCGTTGCAAAGGTGTCACAGCGACCTTGTCTCTGCAAAGACATCACAATAAATAACTTTATTAACCAAAAACATCTTTTTTTACAGCAGGGCCAAAGCAGGAAGACTGAAGCAGGTGTGTGATGCTGCTGCCAGCTCATTGCAGAGAGAAGACTTCTGGCTGAGGGATCAAATGGGTCATGAGGCTGCTGTCAACAGTAACAAATGTGCCACCCAGGCCCCCTCCTTTGCCATCCAACTACAGCAGATCCGAGCCTCTACAGCCCACCTGCAGCGACTAAAAGACCCGTCATCGCTGCCTGTCATCGGGGGCCACCGGCCAGCTGCGCTGAGAGATGTACAGATAGACAGAGAATGAAGGGCTGCAGGAATGAGTAGAGCAGGACTACAGCAGAGCTCCAAGCAGGGCGGAGGGAGATGAAAGCAAAATACCACCATGAAGCGGACAGGAGAGAGAAACCTTAACTTTGGTCTCATAAAAGAAATTCATTTTTTTATGAAATTAACGCAATCTATTGTTTATTATCATTCCATTGAGCATTCTTTGTTGTTGGGTAACGGATATCATTTGGCAGGGGATGACAACAGTACCTGGTATAACGGCGTGATGTGCTGCGCCACTGGTAAAAGATTCTAAAATGCATTTTTAACCTCCAAAATTCCTGCAGTCCTTATAATAAAGCGACTGAGCATATATTAGGTAACTCTCCGTTATAACCTTTAGAGATAATGACCTGATTAAGCATTAAACTAATACTGCAGCATACCATCTGCAGACTGTTCTAGGTTCACTGCACACATTAAGCCCACACACAGAGACATCTACACAGAAATTTGGAGTTAACATTATATTTTCATTCCAATATAGTTTCATCTGCAAACCTGATTTTAAAAAAGGCATCTTAATGTATCAAAAACAATTTCTACCATTTATTATAAATATGCAAGGTAATTGCTCTACTACAGCAGATGTTTCAAATACAAGTATTTAAGGCAAAATTATGATGACCATCAATTATCTATAGGTCATTATGAAAACCCTAAGTACAGTGAATAATTAACATGCACTAAGTTCCTAGTAATATTTCATGTAGAAATGTCCAACTTTTTATCTGAATTAAATGTTCAACTTTTGCAGACTCATCTTTTCAGAATATTTGGTCCTGTATTTGTATTATCAAATACAACATACAGATGTTCACCAAAAATGTATTGCCCACACCACAGCATGAAATATGGAATTTGCAAAAAATTTGCAGGATGTTAAATGAAAGTCTGTTGGGTATAGAAAAGGAACCACAGAATTTGGACACAATCTTTAATGCATCAATGGGGATGGTTTTGTAAAAGCTACAATTTTAGGTAGATCCTAAAACTGTTTCAGTGTGCAGTACATTTTATTTTTTATAGAAGATAAAAAAAACAGAAAGAATTTGTCAAGATGGCAGTAAGAACTGGAAATAATTGTAGCCAATCCTTTCAAAACCACTATAGAATCAGATTTTGGCCTTTTAGTCTTGAACAAGCTTAGAAAAGCATAAAACAATGAAACATCTACATGCTTACAGTTCATAGAAGGAAATTCTAATTAAAAATCACAATTCTGATTGAAAAGAAAAGTAACAAAAACCAGCTTCCTCTATTTAACAAATAGTTTTTGCTATATAAATAGAACATATTTAACAATTTTTTTACACTTTAACAAAATGTGAAATACGCAAAAGTTACCTTGACAGCGCCGCTGTTAGCTTCGATGTAGATGACATCTCCCACCTCCACACGCTCTTTCTGAAGACTCTCATAAATGCTGGGATCCAGCTAGAGAACACAGCAAAATTTCTTTTAGGTCGACACCACATTCAATAATATTACAAAAACTATACTTTAAAATGAACATCTTGAATTGTGAATCAAACCCCTATAAGTAAAGCTCAACATAGTTCAAGTTACCAACTTGGCACAATTAAGAAAGAAAGAAAAAAAAACGTTTATAGTTTTTGTTTTCAATAATTGTACAAATTGTTTCATGAAGTATTTAACATGTAAAGATTATTTATTGAATGCAATAGAAGTACAGATAAAGTGTAAACCTCTAAACCTGACCTTGAGCTGCTTGGTGCCCTTGGCTGTCTTCAGGCCGATGATGACATGGCTGATGGTCTTTCCGTAGCCACCCATAGGATTCTCCGTCTCACATGGGGTCAGCTCTGTCACCTCCCCTTCATACACCTCTTTTGTTTCTTTGATGCGCAGACCTGAACATATACACACACAAAAACTTCATAATGCTGATAAATCAAGTCTTTATATTCCTGCATCAGCTCAGCCGCTACATCTTTCAGGCTACTGAATAATTCCTTTTATTACAGGGAAGAACGTGTGCTTGTCAGATAAATGCCAGAGCATCAGTGTAACATGATCACACTTCTTTCACCCAGGCTGTGGATCTGAGTACGAGCAGCACACAGGTGCAGGGTCCTCCATGTTGTGTGTGAGAGAGCTGTGCCTAAGGCAGGGGCTGTGTTGCAGAGCTGTTACTGACAAGGTGCTGACAAATTTCAGGATTAAGTCCAGCACCCCGCATTTTGCAAAAATCAAATCTAGTAGGTGGAGCAAATGTGCTGTTGATGAACTCTATTTAAGCCCAGTTTCCTCTCTAGTGAGTGGGAGGCTTCAGTCAGATAAAAACTTTCTCTTCTGTTAGAAAACCTTTCTATAAATCTACTATAAATTTCCAGCTCAAGAAAGGAGGATGCTGAATTCCACTTTTTTTTTTTTTGTGCACAAAAACAAACTCCAATAGACATGGTGTGATCAATACTAAGTGGACATTAACACAAAATGTGTTGCTTGTTTTTTGATGATGCTGTTTGGTCACTTAAGTTGTCAAAAGCCTCCAGAGAGCAGCTGATTTTATGCTACAGTTAAATTATACAACCATAAATAACATAAAAAAGTACTTATTATTGCACTTAGTTTTACAAATAGGTATCAGAGTAAATGGGAGGGAGTGCAATGCATACTACTTGTTTTAAATATGTACAGCAAAGCAGGTTGTGACATCACTGCAGGTCAGAAAGAAATATATAATTTCACTCATTTGACTTTATAACCATTTTTTTTTTTAACTTAAACCTTGTTGAAATTATCTTTGCAGAGAGTATGCGAAGTGATGCAAAAGCAATAAAAAGGGGGTGGATTTTATTTTAGCCTTTCTTTATATATAAAAAAAAAAAAAACTCTCAAACAGTGAGCTCTTTCTTTTCCTACTGCTAGTGCAAGAGACTTGCATTAATAGACAGACTCTTTTTTTCCTTAAATAAAATAATTATCTCTTTTATTAAAGCATTAAATGTGCTGGTGTGTAAATAAAACAGGTTCATTTAAATACAAAGAGGTTAGGAAAAGAGCTCTTTAGCATACTTACCAATTGCTCTTCTAAAATTCTCCATAAGTACTTCTGTTTTCTTTATTTCAGACGAGTACACTTCACTGCCAACCATGGGACAGAAGGGCACTTTGTTTCCTAGCTCCTGTGCCATAGCCAAAGCAAGGGCAGTCTGCAGGTTGGAAAGCAGAAATAACAGTCACTATTCAACTTAAAATTCACAGTTAATAAACTCATATGTAGATCAACACTTTGGTAAACTGACCTTTCCTGTTCCGGGAGGTCCTGCCAACAGAACTGCTCTTCCTGCCATCTTTTTGGAACGGATCATCTCAACGATGATCCCGCAGGCCTGGAAACATTACGCTTAATTACATCAATATACCGGTACACACAAAAAAAAAAGTGCATGCTTGCAAAAACAATTACAAGCATATTTCCTTGGAAGTGTAGTTATAAATGAAATCTTCTTCAAAAAGAAACAAAGTATGAAACAAAAGATTAATGAAATTTACTTTCTCAAGTACATCTAACAAGAGCAGATAAGTAATTTTAATGACCATCAAAAGGCCTGCAGGATACCAGAAACCTTTAAAAGTTGCACAACTAAACTTGCAATATTGTAGCCAAACTCTAGTTTTTTTTAACTGATTCCATATTTGTAACCTTATTTGTCGGTTCTTGAGAACATTTACATTAATGTCCCTAACCATAATCAGACCTTCTAATAAAAACAAAACCACAAGTATATGAAAACTCAGTTGGTTAAGGTGTCTTAAGACCAAAACAGAGATAGTACAATTGGATTATTTAGGAAGCTATCAGTGTAGGTTCTACAGATATATGACTTACATTGTTATCATCATGTTTATTAATAGTTGTTTATTCTCATATCAGCATCTCAACATAACATGTATATTTTATATTCTTCATACTCAGGGAGATATTTTGTAAGATATTGAACAAAACAGGATTTATTTTATTCCATATTTCATAAAATGAGGACATTTTAACCTCGCATCCTTAAGCTCCAACCTAGAGATAAAAAGCAACCTGGCGATGCTAACAACGTTAGCATATGTAGTAAATGGGACCCGTGCAGTGTTAAAGCCGAAACATATCTTATTCAATGTTTTTTTTCACTCAGAGATAAACAATAACAAAGTAGTAAAAACAGAATATTACCTCTCTTGCAGCCTCCTGCCCGACCAGTCCGCATGCCGCCTGCTTAGCATTCCCGGCCTCGTCTAGCCCCAGACCTTTGACGTGACTGTGAGAGGCAATCCTTTGAGTTTTTGTAGTACTTTTTACTTCCTCTATCTTCATAGCTGCGTTATATGTGTTTATGTGAAATGCAGGGAACGCTAGTTTCCTTAGAAAGTGATAAAATGCTTCTTTTCGATTGATTATTTCAAACCGCAGCAGTCGGCGCCGTAACTCAAAACATAGAGAAATCGGTTTCCATGTGGGTTACTAGGGAAAATTAGCGGAAGTGCTCCACTGAAGTTCCCGCCTATTAGAGAAAATGTGAAAGATGATTGGCTCAAGTGAAAACTTTCTGAAATATCATTGGTTGAGAATAAATCGTAAGAAAAAAAAAAGGAAGTACCTCCGTTATGGTTCCGGTGGTGTTTCTTTTAATTTGTCGTAGTGAAACAACAAAAGAAAAAATAATATAGTAAACATTTAAAAACAAATGTTATTGTACGTGTGAAGTTGAAGAGAGATTTGATGTAATTGGCATGTGGTTTTAATGCAATTTAAATGTTTTTATTTGAGAATTATTGGAATTATTTGCATTTTTGTTTACTCGTTAAAGTGGTTCCGCTTTAGCTTGTTTTCCAAGGATGAAGTACTCCACTAACTGGAAGGAAGTTCCTCTCAGTTGTAAAGTTGTTTGTAGCCGCTTACTCATGTTAGTTGATTCATGTTAACAAATAAACAACAACGACGGGGGGGATTTGTACTGAAAGAAACGCGACGTGGTGAGACCACAGTCCAACTTATACAGAAGCAAAACACGCATGTTAGGTGAAGCGATTTTCAGACAGTGGATAAAATGACCGAATCAGCTGACAGTCGGGCTAAAACGCTGAACTTTAATATCGGGGTGCTCGGACATGTGGACAGTGGGAAGACCTCTCTGGCCAGAGCACTGAGCAGCACAGCCTCCACTGCCGCCTTCGATAAGAACCCACAGTCCCGTGAAAGAGGCATCACGCTGGACCTGGGCTTTTCCTCCTTCACGGTGGGCTGCCCTGACCACCTGCTGGACACCACGGGACAGCGGCCCTATGACAGCCTGCAGTTCACCCTGGTGGACTGTCCGGGACACGCCTCTCTGATTCGGACCATCATTGGAGGTGAAATCTGAAGTTTTAATACATGTTAAACTTGCTTTCATTAGAAAAAATAGGTATTTCTATCTATCTATCTATCTATCTATCTATCTATCTATCTATCTATCTATCTATCTATCTATCTATCTATCTATCTATCTATCTATCGATAGTTATTGCACTGGGTATTAAATATAAAAAAATTGCACAGGGTATTAAATAGTTATTGCACATTAGTTATTGCAGTTATAGTGTCACTTAGTAAAGTCTGATGGCAGCAGGGATGAATGACCTGTGGTAGGGCTCCTTTTAACAAACAGGGTGTATAAGTGTTTCATTAAAGGTGCAGGTCTGAACCGCTACAGTCTGCTGCAGAGGGTGAGAGATGTTGTCCATGATGTATGTAAGCTTGGTCAACCCCCTCCTCTTAGCCACTCCACTGAGTCCAGAGCAGGCTTGGACTGGGAACGATTTTAGGCCCTGGCATTTTTCCATGCAACATATTTTTGCTAAATATTCTAACATAAATTCGCAAAATATAAGAGGAACATCGTAGTTTGGTTTAAAGACAACATTTAACTTTTTATTATAATATAGTTTGTTGCAAGGATTTTACAGTTTGAAGAAATAGAAAACTACACAATATGCCAACCTTCACAAGGATGTGCATGACAAGGAAGGGCTATATATATACTGCATGCATCAATTAGGTAGTTAATATTGTATTACTTCTTGAGCTCCTTGAGTTATTTACTGTCACAGGTAGGCACTTTGGCCAGAGAGTAAGTGTTGGGCCAGTATGATTTAAGCAGGGCTGGTATCACAGATTACCAGTCTGTGCGTTCACAAGTGCCTCATTGTTGACAGCTATTTTTTTCTGCCATCATTGTAACCAAAACTGGATTTAGTTATATTTGTCCACTTGGAGGCGCAATCTCTCAGCACATAAACCAAAATGACTGGCACAGACTTGGGTTGTTGCAAGCAGAGACTGTTTATTTGGCTCAAGTACTGCAGAAAGGTCATTATTGGTTTTGTGTTAATGTCTGTGTGAACTATGTGATTTCTACCTCACGTCTCAACACACGCTGCTATAAATTACAGTTGTGAGAGCCATCCTGCATATTTGAGTTTAGTTGAGGGTATTTATTTGAATTCTTGTTCCTTCCAAAGAAAAAGAGAATTGGGAAACAAAGAAACAAAATCTCAGGGAAATTCCACTAAATGAGATCTAGTTTTAATCCTCTGAGTCTTTGCTCTTACTCTGCTTCCATGCACCCCTTCTCCTTCAGTCTCCTGTCATGTTCCCTGGTCCTTTGGACATCCTCTGTTTTTGTCTGAATTGCTTTGGTTAGCTCCATGTTTATGATTTGAACTCCTTTCTAAGGATGTAGCCCTTTTCAAAGAGGAGGAAAGGGAAGCCCTTTGTCTTTTTGTATTCTTAACACGTTTCTTTCTAATTTTTCCAGGCGCTCAGATCATCGACCTAATGATGCTGGTAGTGGATGTGGTGAAAGGAGTTCAGACCCAGACTGCAGAGTGTCTGCTCATAGGAGAGCTGACCTGCCCCCGTATGGTTGTTGTCCTGAACAAGGTTGATCTTTTGCCACCTAACAAGAGGCAAAGTGCAATTGAGAAAATGACCAAGAGGTTGCACAAAACACTGGAAAGCACCAGGTCTGCGTTGATTTATACAACTCTGTATCTGGGGTTATTTAGAGGGGAACTTTATGTGGATAGCCTCACCGCCTCAACACCCCATCATGAAATAATTTTAGCACTACTGTTTTCTGACGGACAGGTTTAAGGAATGTCCAGTGATTGCTGTGGCAGCGAAGCCTGGAGGCCCAGAGGCCCCTGAAACAGAGGAGCCACAGGGAGTACCAGAGTTAATTGAGGTATATTGGACTGCTAATGCTAAAGGTGGTGTGTGTGTTCCCATTAATTCAACAGGGAAATTGCTTGGATTTTGTTTTATATGATGCAGAAGGTGCCGTTGTTTGGTAAAGTTAGGGAAATAATCTCCCTAATCTTCTGTGTTTAAAAGAGATTAACATCCTTCAATGTTTTCAAAGCCTAAAATGTATGTTTACTAAACTGTTCCTAAGAATTTCTCTCTGAAGGGACACATGATCTAATCAAAGCTTTAGGATTTCCACTCAGCATTTTAAGCTCAAAATGAAGGGGGTCTGAAGTCAGGCATCTTACGGTCTCTACAGAAAGAGACTGGTCCTTGAGGATTGAAGTCTAAGACCTCTTACCTTTTACATATTTCTTTCACAGCAGCATGAGACAACTCCAAGTTGATCAGAGTTGATTTAAGCCAGAAGTAATTGAAAGTTATGGTCACTTGTTGCTGTCAGCTGGCTGGGTGCATGCTACCCTGTTGCTGTGTTTATAAGAATTAAATATTTGACTATTTGGATTATAATTAGTCTAAACAGGTTAGGAGGTACAGCAGGATTGCAAACAGAGCAGATACTCTTTACCAGCTGATGTTAAAGTGATATACATACTATTTGTTATTTTACTATACATATAGAGACTAATGGGGGATAAAAAAGGTTTGATACTTTATGTTGTCCAACATCAGGTGGTAGATGTATTTACTATCCTAAGTAGTCACCTGGTTTTAACCAGGTTGATCGAATTTGGGTAGTTTGGGACCAATTTATAACATAATTGATAAACGAGTTGTGGTCGATCATCCTAGCTCAGATTAGGCTTGTTATCAGTTTCACGGTATACTAATTGAAGCTAGTTAACACCTCTGCATTTTGTGTTTTTTTTTTTTTTTTGTCTTGGAAAACTATAGTAGCATGAAAACTATTTAAAAATGTGTTTTTTGTGTTTGTTTCTTCCAGCTTTTAAAGAAACAGACATACCTCCCCAAGAGAGACCCTAAAGGTGACCTTCTTATGGCTGTGGATCACTGCTTCTCCATCCGCGGTCAGGGAACGGTCATGACCGGGACCATCTTACAGGGGTCACTGGCCATTAACGACACAGTGGAAATCCCAGTGCTAAAGGTTCGGTTTTTGACAGTGGAAATAAATGTGTGGACTATGCACTGATCCAAAAGTTCAAGAGTTTCTGCACAGTTGACTTGTGACAGTGACTAGTTAGTGTTAGGGAAAGCTGAGGGTAAGTGGTGGTGGGTTTACAGCAAATCCAATGTTTAATCAAGACCACATGCAAAGTTGCAGCTTGCAGTTCTTATGTCAGCCTCTTGGTGGCAGCAGATAGCTTAAATGGCATTTTATCATCCTTCTGATTTTGTTCAATAGAATGGAAGAGTAGAATGGAACAATCTTTGTTGTCCCTTAGTAGTGAAAATGTGGTGCCAGAAAAGTGTGCAAATACACAAACAGGTGTCAAGAATAAATAAATAAACAATGATAATCATAACAGTTTATGATAAATATTGTGCAGGTAATAGTTATTATAATTTTATTTTATTTTTTTAAATCAATTTATTTTTCTTTATTCCTTTATTTGTCAGTGACACATTAATGAACATTTCTGTAAATATGTCAGTATTAGAAAGGAAGCTATTTTTTAACTGTTGTCCCTGGGCAAGGCGTATAACAATTATGAAAAAAAATTGAAAACGTAAAAAAATTGAAGCTACATACTTACAAGGCCATGTCATACAGTTTAAACAGAGAAATTAGCATAAATATGTACAGATATTTACAAATATCTAAAATAATGGCTTGAGTAAAAACTTCTAAAACTTGTTCCAAAACACATATTTTCAAAGAGAAAAATAAAACAATAAATAATATTAAGCTGATTACATTTTTTCTTCCCTACATTTAAATAAGTTGCCAAATAAACAGAAATCTTCCATTATCTTTATTGTGCTCCTGTGACTTTTTTTGTTTTTTATTCATCAGTGGATGAAACAAAAAATCTTTTAGGTTTTGTTGTTTCTTGAACTGAGTTTTGAAATCAAACAAAATCATAATGATAATCTTTTCATCAAACCAAGTCATTTGATGGATACATCTTTAATTTACAAGAACTCCTTCACTTTTTAACAAAACAGAGGCATTTTAAAGTTGTTTATTTTCCTGTAGAGTTCTGTAGCATCAGACTTTTTCATTTTTATCTTCCATTCATGTATTCAGTTTTT